TCCCGTGAAGAACCGCAGGTATAATTATTACGTTCTTGATGATGTTGACGTCACTTGTCTTAATCCCGTCAATCACTTTTGGTCAGATTTATAACTTGAGATTCTCTGAAGTGAGTCTTTTTTCCCCTCAGATGAAGTATTTCTCGTTCAAGGTAAAATGAAAGACATGATAACTCCCAGCCAAGCCAAACCAAACCAACCCTTTGTGCGCTTGAGATGCAATTACGTATATACACAGTAGCTTGTCTATACAGTACATTATAGAGAGAAAGTACTGTACAATGTAAACCATGTAAACACCTCTGGTAGTAGGTAGGTAAACAGCTCCCAGGGTGCCTAACATGGCGGGTGAAGGAGTTTTAAGACATTGCTTTTAAGTGTAACATGAACTGAGAGGAGTAGTTGTGGTGGAAGTGGTGGTAGTTGTGGTGATGGTGGTTGAGGTGGTGGGGAAGATGGTTGTTGGTGGATGGGGAAGGGAGGATGAGGGGGGGGGGAGGCAAGACAACATTATCTTGTTTTTTATGCAGATATTTTTACTCTGAAACACAAACACTTATGGTTAGTTTCAGGAGGGTCTTGGTGTTGTGGTGGTACTGTGGTGGTGGTGGTGGTGTGGTGGTGGTGTGGTGGTGGTGTGGTGGTGGTGATGTTGTGGTAATGTTGTGATGGTGTTGTGGTGGTGCTGTTGTGGTGGTGCTGTGTGGTGGTGTTGTTGTAGTGGTGTTGTTGGCGCTGTGGTGTTGTTGCTGTGGTGGTGTTGTGTGGTGTGGTGGTGGTGTTGTGGTGGTGTTGTGGCGGTGCTGTGGTGGTGGTGTTGTAGTGGTGATGTTGTGGTGGTGTTCTGGTGGTGCTGTGGTGGTGGTGGTGTTCTGTGGTGTTGTGGTGGTGCTGTGGTGGTGGTGTTGTTGTAGTGGTGTTGTGTTGTTGTGGTGGTGCTGTGGTGGTGTTGTGGTGATGCTGTGGTGGTGGTGGTGCTGTGGTGGTGGTGGTGTTGTGGTGGTGCTGTGGTGGTGGTGTTGTTGTAGTGGTGTTGTGGTGTTGTGGTGGTGCTGTGGTGGTGTTGTGGTGGTGCTGTGGTGGTGGTGGTGTTGTAGTGGTGTTGTGGTGTTGTGGTGGTGCTGTGGTGGTGTTGTGTGGTACTGTGGTGGTGGTGTTGTGGTGGTGCTGTGGTGGTGGTGGTGTTGTGGGTGCTGTGGTGGTGGTGTTGTGGTGGTGTGTGGTGGTGTTGTGGTGGTGCTGTGGTGGTGTTGTGGTGGTGCTGTCGGTGTTGTGGTGGTGATGTTGTGGTGGTGCAGTGGTGGTGGTGCTGTGGTGGGGTTGTGGTGGTGCTGTCGTGGTGTTGTGTTGGTGATGTTGTGGTGGTGTTGTGGTGGGGTTGTGGTGGTGCAGTGATGGTGCTGTGGTGATGGTGCTGTGTGGTGTTGTGGTGGTGCTGTGGTGGTGTTTATGGGGTTGTGGTGGTGCAGTGGTGGTGCTGTGGTGGTGGTGCTGTGGTGGGGTTGTGGGGTGGTGCTGTCGTGTGTTGTGGTGGTGATGTTGTGGTGGTGTTGTGGTGGGGTTGTGGTGGTTGCGTGATGGTGCAGGTGGTGGTGGTGCTGTGGTGGTGTTGTGGTGGTGCTGTGGTGGTGTTGTGGTGGGGTTGTGGTGCAGTGGTGGTGCTGTGGTGGTGGTGCTGTGGTGGGGTTGTGGTGGTGCTGTCGTGGTGTTGTGGTGGTGATGTTGTGGTGGTGTTGTGGTGGTGTGTGGTGGTGCTGTGGTGGTGTTGATGTTGTGGTGGTGTTGTGGTGGTGCTGTGGTGGTGGTGCTGTGGTGGTGTTGTGGTGGTACTGTGGTGGTGTTGTGGTTGTTGTGGTGGTGTTGTGGTGGTGCTGTGGTGGTGTTGTGGTGGTGCTGGTGGGTGTTATGGTGGTGTTGTGGTGGTGTGTGTGTGTTGGCTGTATGCGTGGTGCGGTGTTTATTGTGTGTGGTGGTGTGGTGGTGTTGTGGTGGTGGTGTGTGTGGTGGTGGTGTGGTGGTGTTGTTGTTGTGGTGGTGATGTGTGTGGTGGTGCTGTGGTTTTGTGGTGGTGGTGTTGTGGTTGTGGTGTTGTGCTTGTGGTGTTGTGGTTGCTGGTGTGAGATGGTGTTGTGGTGAGTGTGTGATGCTGTGGTGGTAATGTGGTGGTGGTGGTGGTGTTGTGGTGGTGGCGTTTTTGGTGGTGTGTGGTTGTGGTGGTGGTGGTGGTGTTGTGGTGGTAGTGTTGTGGTGGTGTTGTGGTGCTGTAGTGATGTTGTGGTTGTGGTGGTGTTGTCCTGGTGTTGTGGTGCTGTAGTGGTGTTAAGTGATGTGGTGGTGGTGCTGTGGTGGTGGTGCTGTGGTGGTGGTGCTGTGGTGGTGTTGTGGTGGTGTTGTGGTGGTGGTGGTGCGTGGTGTGGTGGTGGTGGTGGTGCTGTGGTGGTGGTGCTGTGGTGGTGTTGTGGTGGTGGTGGTGGTTGTGGTGCTGTAGTGGTGTTGTGGTGGTGTTGTGGTGGTGGTGCTGTGGTGGTGTTGTGGTGGTGGTGTTTTGGTGCCAGGTGTGATGGTAGTGGTGTTGTGGTGGTGGTGCTGTGGGTGGGTGGTGGTGTGGTGGTGTTGTGGTGGTGTTGTGGTGGTGGTGGTGTGGTGTGTGTGGTGGGTTGTGGTGGTGTTTGGTGCTGTGGTGGTGTTGTAGTGATGTGGTGGTGGTGCTGTGGTGGTGGTGGTGGTGGTGGTGTTGTGGTGGTGGTGTGTGTGGTTGTGTGGTGGTGTTGTGGTGGTGGTGTTTTGGTGCTGGTGTTGTAGTGATGTGGTGGTTGTGTTGTGGTGGTGGTGGTGTTGTGGTGGTGGTGGTGTGGTGGTGCTGTGGTGCTGTTGTGGTGGTGGTGGTGGTGGTGGTGTTGGTGCTGTTGTGGTGGTGGTGGTGGTTGGTTGGTATGGTGGTGATGGTGTGGTGGTGTTGTGATGTTGTGGTGGTGGTGTGTGGTGGTGGTGTTGTGGTGGTGGGTGTGGTTGGTTGGTATGGTGGTGATGGTGTGGTGGTGTTTTGATGTAGTGGTGGTGTTTTGATGTTGTGGTGGTTGGATGGTATGGTGGTGGTGTTGTGGTGGTGTTGTGATGTTGTGGTGGTGTTATGATGTGGTGGTTGGATAGTATGGTGGTGGTGGTGGTGTGGTGGTTGGATGGTATGGTGGTGGTGGTGGTGTGGTTGTTGGATGGTATGGTGGTGGTGGTGGTGGTGGTGCACCATAACTCACACCGGCACACTAGGGTACCCAGCCGTGGTTCAGTTGTCAGGTGTCTGGTGGTCGCTGAGTCTAGTGAGGCAGACGGTGACGGGGCCGAAGAAAGACATCGAGCGGTGTTGACACTTGTCATTGACAGCTGTCATAATCCTTGACAGCGATAACGGTCTCCCTCTTTGTGTTTGTGTGTGACTTGTATAATTATTATCCAGTCCACAACTGAGGGAAAGGGTATTGGTTTCGGTCCTGTCTGTCTGTCTCTCTGTCTGTCTGTCCCCATAACAGTTCGAGAACTGGTTTACAGAAATACATCCAACTCGGTAGGTCTGGTCAGTGTGTGGCCACGGTCTACAGGATAAACTAATGGTTCAAACTTGATCAAGTGTTGCCATGGTAACGGCTCACACAGTGACAACACGTCGAGATTATTGGGGTTAAATAAAACATTATTAGGTCCATTAATTTACATCAACAACGTCATAGTTTCCTCAGTTATCCCTTCATAGTACAGAGTCGCGGGCAGTGTTTGCGTGACGTCACCAACATCAGAACGTAAATATTATCAGAGGGAGGAGATCGTGACGTCATCTTTTCTCCCAGGGAAAAGGAGGACCGACAGAGGTTCAGATCCCAATTACGGAGTTCCTATCCTTCGGAGGATCCCATTAAGCATCACCATAAGCCATTTTAATGAGCTGTTCCTAATATCCGATAATAGGCACTTGTGCGAGGGCAATGTTCTCTCTCTCTCTCTGTTGCCCCTCGTAGGTCATAGTGGGCAGCCTGTACACAAACTAGCAACAGGACACCTAACATGTACAGTATATCTATTTATGTATGTTTATTAACTAATGCTTCTATATGTATGACGGCAATTCATTAATACTTACAATATATGTCGATAATACACACGAGGGAACACACACACACACACACAGTAAATATTCTAGTACCTTCAGTAATAAGTAACTGGGCTTCAGAACCTTGTGATTGACTCTACTTAACACTGGAGTCAAAGAGGTTATAGATCTGTAAAGTCTTAAAGGCGTACACCACTTTAACAGAGTGTGTGTGTGTGTTTAACACACTCCCCCGCCTCTGCCCAGTATACCTTAAAATTCTGTCAACAAGGTGTCATAAAAACGGGGTTATGTAAACACAGGAGCATAAAAAAAATAATAAATAAGACGAAATATAACAGCGTCGTCTTCCATCCAACGTGACACCTGAGAAATGATTTACAATTTTCTGTATAATATAAACGCTATCGCCTGAAGATTAGACACGTTAACCTAACCTAACCTTGTATAACCTAACTTTACCTAACCTAATGTAACCTAACGTAACCTAGTATAGCCTAACCTAACCTCACCTAACCTTAATGTGACATAACCTCACCTAACCTAACCCCCTGGTAATATTAAGGTGTTTAATAATCAGGTAAAATAATCTTCAGGTGATTCTATAGCTGTTATTATTTATACTCTATCACCTGGTATTTAATTAACCTACCTGTCATCACTTCAATGGTCTACCTTAGGATGTCAAGACTCGCCTGACGAAGAACCCTCTCTCTCTCTCTCTCTCTCTCTCTCTCTCTCTGTTTTTTATTGTCTTTCACTCCTGTTTGTTTACTTTGTCTGTGCATTTATCTGACTGTTTCGTTTTGCTCACACACACACACACACACACACACACACACACACACACACACACACACCTGGAATAGAAAATATCAATTAAGTATAAGAATCTCACCTGACGAGTGTTGGTAAGTCTTGCTCGAGTATTCACTGATGTTCACACTTGGTTGTTTGTTCATGCGTTCAAACTTACTTAATAACTTTTATGTTCACATCCTTTTTTTTTATTCAGATTTATTTAGCTTCTGTTCAAATGTGTTTAGCTTAAATCTGTGTTTTGTGTTCAAATGTTTTTCTGTCGATGATTTGTTCCCTTAATTAACTTTCTGTTCAAAGACTGTCAGTTTGTGTGTTTTATATGTTGTTCACTTTTACGCCTTGAACTAATTCCGTTTTCCGTTTCGAATTATCCAGATCTTAGTGTTCAAAACGTACACAGTTGTTCGAAGCTACTGTACTGTATAGTTCGGCCGATGTCACTCTTCGTTTCCAAATTAGTCTTGTTCGTTTCAGTCTTCAAGTTCATACAGATGGTATTATTTCGTCACTTAGTTTGAAGAAATAATATGGTTGACGCCTAGATACATTAAGCTGGCAGTTGTTATTCAGTTAACGTTTTACTGTGTGATTTGGTCCCGTGCTCTCTCTCATGACCGCTATTTCTTACAGTACCAATTTAAATTAGTATAAAGAAAGCATTATTTTTACCTAAACATGTTTCGTCAGCACGCTGCTATGTCTAGTACAGTAAATTACCTGCTAACTTAAGCTAACATGAGAGTGATATGTTTGCGACTTGAGTTAGTCCACCAACAGCAACACGCTCCAGTCACATGTTATTAGTTCAACATTTTCAAGAAAGAACATTAAAGTCTTTCAAACTAATTTTTTCAGGTAACAAAATAATTCTTCCTCGTACGATAATGAACGTCTTATCATTTTTTTAGGCAAGAGACAGCAGAGGAAAGGAGTCAGGGGTCAGGGTAAACTTGAGAGGTGAGGCGGAGTAGGCAGCCAGGGTGAGAGAGTCGTGCTGTGTCCCGGCCGGCCCGCCACAAGCCACTACCGCTGTGCCTCACTTTACAGCCTGACCTGCCACACACACACACACACACGCACACGCAAACGCGCTCTCTCCCTCACTGCGCTGGATTTCGTTAGATATCACGTTAATTCGACATACATTTTTACAGTAGTTCAGCAAACACGTAGTATAGTCATAAACAGTGTTTGTCTACTGTATATAAATGGTAAACAACTAAACATTGATTCCACCTAACTTATTTCACTAATGGCAAAAATAACAGCCATAACTAAGTCAAAATTCCACGCAATCGTCTCTAGGGACACTTAATTCACTTGTTCATTGATATTAAAGAAATAATCCGTCTTTGAGGCGTAAAAAGAGTCAGATTAAAAAAATATATAACCGTTAAGAAATGTGAAATACAACAACGAAGAATAAAAGACAATACTAGGCTGCGAAATTCACCAATAAAAAATAAAAAAACGAAATAAATGCGAAATATAACATAAATCACAGAACTGGTAGAATAAATGCGGTGAAGGAAAATATGATAAAAACACACCAAATTAAAGAAAGAATTACGTGGGAGTGGAGAAGTTAAGCTTCATGAACATGTGTGTGTGTGTGTGTGTGTTTCTTCCGCCACCTTAACCTTAGGTAGAAATGCATTGTTGGACGGAAGCTGTAGTGGCCTGTGAGTGTATGTATGTATGTACAGTTTGTACCGAAATTTCAAACTGGTATTTATATGGGGACGATCATGTACTGTAGATAATTATTCATAATACAAACTACAGTTTAATAAATAATTTATTACTTACCTAACCTAACCTAACCTAACCTAACCTAATCAAGGCATTGTTTGGTTGTGTTATAATAGTAAATGATATATTAGATGGAATTCAACAAATCTTACTTTATCTGAACCAATTGCTATTAAGTTATAACAATAAGAACATAAGAATGGAGAAAACTGCAGCGGGCCTATTGGCCCATACTGGGTAGTCCCGTTTACACCCAACCCCTATTGCTCATATATTCATCCAACCTATGTTTGAAGCTATCCAGCGTATTCGATTTCATAATGGTGTTTGGTAACTTGTCCCACTCATCCACTACTCTATTTCCAAACCAATGTTTACTTATCTCGCGCCTAAATGTAAATTTGTCTAATTTAAAACCATTGTTACGAGTTCGCTGCTGGTTGGATAGTTTGAGTACCTTTGTTATATCACCTTTGTTTAGCCCTGACTTACATTTATACACCTCGATCATATCGCCCCTCACTCTACGTCTCTCAAAGGGGTGCAAATTAAGGTGCTTTAACCTGTCTCTGTACTCAAGGTTCCTAATGGCAGGGATTAGTGCTGTAAACGCCTTAGTTAAGGACGTTCAGGTGACGGGCAAGTCGAAGGGAATGATTGAAACCCGTCTTTTGACGCACTCAATATTTATTGATGTGGTCAAAACCTGCAGAGGAGAAGGCGTTCATAATATTACATGGTGATCCATCTGATACATAATTAGTTATTCACACAATTTTATCTTAATTACTATTTATTAAACATACTGACATAACACAAAGTTCATAACTCTATTAATCTTAGCTTCGCTTCATTCTGCATTGTCTTATTACTCCAGGTTAGGCAGAAACAAGTAGGCATAATTATTCAACAGTATTTCAGTACCGAGGGGTATGTCATCACTTAGGCTGTACTTACAAGTGCGGGTCAATGCAGATCAGTATGGTGTTCCAAGAGAAAGCAGTATTGCGTAAATCGTCCCAGCACAAATTCTCGGACAGGAGAAGACTGGCCTCTACAGCATCACTAGAGAGGGCGATCTGTCTCATGGAGGGGCGGGCAGCCACTGCTACCAGTCTAAGACAGTCCACTCAGCAGAACCAGGACTTGTCTGTAAACACTTCTACATCTGGCGAGGTCACAGGTCGAAAAATTTAATGGCATCACACGCCAGCACTGTAGCTGAAGCCAGCGGCGATAACAAGTGCAGTACGGTTGTCATGGTCACGTTGATGGCTAGTCTGTTTTAACTCTGTTGATCCTTATTATACTCCACAAACGCAAAACATGAGTGGGTAGCTGGTTAGCTATCCCCTGGAAGAAGGGCGTTTTTCCCCATCGACGTTTATACTCATGATCCCTCTCTAAGCCCCGCCTTTGTGAAGACAGTTGTCACTACGCTTTTATTCCACTTTCTCCTGGCAAGCTCAATCTTGAATTAGTTTATGTAAATCAACTCAAGTAATTCGCCAGACCTTTGTCAACTGAGGGTCATTTTTGAATGTGTAACAGTTGGTTTGTTTGTGATTTCTATCCTTGCTGGAGATAGCCACCTCTGGCAACTCAGAGATATATAACCACGGGCGAGACAGGATATCAGCCTCCCTCTCCTGACGTCAACATTTGCTTCCCAGGTATGTTCTGTGTTCCCTCCGTTATAGCCATTCAGTTTGACTTAGTCAATGTAGTGAATTATCAGTGTTCATGTTGTAACAGTGGCACTTTCATTTACCCAGTGAGAAGTAACATAAAGTAAATGTCGTCTGACGTTGCGAGACGAAAGATTTGTTTGTGTTTGTCCATGTCTCCTTCTCCTGACGTCAACATTTGCTTCCCAGATTCCAGGGTGTCCTTCTCTGAACACCCCACCGGCTGCGGAGTTGGTGGATATTTAGCAGTGAGCAATATATGAAATGATGGCGCTGATTCGACAGGATTAACTGCAGGTCCGCCTCGTGGGCCTCAGACCCCAGACTGTCAACCAGGGCTGTCGGAATTTCCGACTCTTGTTTATTGAACACGCTGATTGGTTCAAATCCGGTACGTAGTCTGCTAATCGGTAAATTGATGACGTAGTCGGTAAGCCGTGACGTCACTGCTCCGATTGTCGGTAAATTACCGACTTTAGGAAATATGCTTTTTCATGGCTAAAATACCATATAGAACACAAAGAAATAAATTGTAGATGTATTTAATTACCTTACCTACATTTTCTAGCGATATCTTAGCAGAATTATATTTTTTTATGTATTGTCAAAATAAAATTGTTGGAATGTTTTGGTTATTTTTTTAATTCAGTATTATCGAAAAGTAATACAAATTACAATTGATAAAATACAAATCTAATGTGATCTCATATAACACTCTGAATGGTGTATGATGCAGTGTTTATTATTCAGAAATTTATAAAACTAATGACAGGAACAATGAAATTCACTGAGTATGAGGACTACTCAAATATAATTACTGTATCTGGGACCTTCGTTACCCCTCACCACACATTATATTATAGAAAATAGTAATATTACGTCATGATCTCGCAACCAATCACAACTCGATCAGTTGAACCAATCAGCGTGTTCGGTAAAGAAGAGTCGGAAATCCCGTCAGCCCAGCTGTCAACACGTGTCAGAGTATAACCGACCACAACAGCGGTCGGCAGTGTTACAGGCGCCAGTGTTATACCCTGGGACATGCCTTGGAGTTATATGGTCCATAGAGTGTGTTGTATATGTTTGGGGATAATTAACTGGAAATAATTATCCCATGTTGGGTAGTGAACCCATGTATGAGTTGGTTTCAGTAATAACATGTGTGTTGAGAGTGCATCTCATGTACTACCAACAGTTAGTAAGGGGACCATATGTAAGTTTGTCGTGTATGTAATGAAATGTATCACCAGTAATGTGGGTGAAGTAAGCTACTCACTTAAGCACTTAATGTGGCTCTTATGATTCGTTCCTCTCTCTTAGCCTGTCTCTGCATGGTAGATGAACAATAGGTATCAGGAAGTTCATATTTAATGATATTAGCCATGACATACCTGAGTGGGGTCTTACAGTGTTAAATAAGTCAAGATTCTATTTAGAGCAAGGTGACAATATTCATCCTATACTTAGTTATTCTTCTTTTGTAATCCTGTGCAGTTTGGATTCACTTGACACCAGATAGATTGGCTCCATCTGCCGTCAGTCAGCTGGAGTGGTGTTGTAGCTTCTGGTTCAGTGGTCGCTATACTTCTGACAAAGCGGGATACCTTTATGCTGACAGGTTATATCGTGGACGTAGTACCTGTCTGGGTAGACCAGTGTGGCGCAATTCTCCAGACGCCCGCCACCTGGCTCTAGAATGTAACTGGAAAAAGAGAAAACGCACACGATTACGATTTTGTTTGTAATATTCTTACTCTTAATTATTTAGTTCATTCTTAGTAAAAGGTATTGTTTGACCCACTTAAGGAGGATTCAGGGAAACACTGTAACATTTTCCAGCACGGATCTTTGCCTGGTCGCTCCTGCTTGACAAACCTGCCAGAGTTGAATGGTTGCTGATTTTAAAACATGGTGGTAAGATTAACAACATAATGCCTTGATTTTTACATGGTATCTCACTAAAGGCTAAATATTGAACTGAATGGATATGATGATGTCATAATGTAAATACAATTATTACTACTCTTCAACAACTAGAGTAAAGTCTTTAAGCAAACATTGTAGAGTAGTAAATAATGTACACATTTCAACAACAACTGAAAATGTAAGAGAAACCCGGCAGATCCCTCTGGCTACTTTATATCGGGAATATGAGACGAAACAAAACGTGGAGTAAATGCCGAGAAAGCCTTGTAGTGGACGTCTCCCCTACAAACTGCGTAGCTGCACACCACCTGCTACCGTCTTCCCTAGCAACCAAGGGTATCCGCATTCCAATGCCCGCCGTATCCTAGCAACCGAGCCAAAAGGCCGGCGACTTCTCGGGTTTTCCCAACATGACTCATAGCGGCTGCTGGGTATATAAGCTCTGTCTCTCCATTGAGATTCATTCTGACCATTCTTCTACAACAAGCAACACCTCCTCCTCCGCCGCTGCCTGGCAGCCCCTCGCATCTCCTCGCCTGCCTGGCGGTCCTCGCTCCCGCCAGCGAGCATGGCGACCCACCAGCTGTCCTCCTCTGAGCTTCCTCACCAACCAACTCTCATTCTGCACCTCCAGCACCAGACTGTCTATAATATAACTTATATATTATACAAGAAAACCACATTAGAGTTTCCTTCCATCCTGAGTGCTAGACAACATTAATATCTCGATACCCCTACAGCCTCATGTGAGCTGTATACTGATGAGCCGTGTAGTGTAGTGTAGTGTAGTGGCGTGTTAGGGCGGATTTATTGATTTTTTTTTCGTAAATAATATACCACACGCGGCCCTCGAGCGTTTCTGTAAAAAGCAAGTAACACTTAAATTTCAGGAGTCTTGTATTATTTGAGATAAGTTTAAAATAGCGCATTGATATATTTTCCTACATTTAAGGGAGATTTTTTTTTAACTGGTGATTAGGTAAATAACTGATTTAGTATCTTTCCCATTTTGAACTGTGGCCCTCATCACTCATCTCACCATTAAGTGTGGCCCTCATCACTTACTTCACCATTAAGTGTGGCGCTCATCACTCACCAACCCAGACAAGCATCCGCTGATGTCACTGTTATTCAGAAAAATGAATTACTTAAATTCTTGTGAAGACTTACACAACTTTCCACGTCACTTCTACCATAGCCACAGTAAATGTTAAAATTTTATTAACGGGAAAAGTCCAAGGCTGCATCATGGTGTTAGTACGGGAGTATGGTGTAAAGTGAGTAGATGACAAATGATAAAGACGTTGACGCCAAATAATAATAATGTGAATGTTTAGTAAATTTTCGGCTGTGACGTAGATCAAACAGACGCCTCCTGTTTTTTCTTTAGAAACAAATTCTTAGGCAGTGAGACAATAAGCCACCAGTCACTGACGAATTTGGGGGGGGGAAATTATCACACTGAAGCTTTTTCTCAAAGTGCAGTTATATCACACATTATTTGTTTTTTTTTCCGGAGTAAAGAAGACCAGATGCAGTAAAGCGAATTAGTTCATAAAAAGTTTCCGCTGAACACTATAACTATCTTCCAGGACAAGTGTTAAGTGTGTACTGTACAGATGCAAAGTTTACATTACATTACATTCTCACACAGGGTAATGCACAGCACAGCACTACAGTGAGGATACAAAGAACCATGCAGAACAATTATGTCACATTATTAGACACGAGAAAATGTTAACATCCATTACCCATCATATGAGCCCCAGATTGGCGCCCCTTTAGGCATGGGCTCTCCCGTCACCCAGAGCCACAAGCCTTCTGAGTCCTCGTCTCTTCCACCGATCCAGATATCCGCGGTGGCTCTCTCAGTGTCTGTAAATTATAATGTTGTACCCTTTGTTTCCGCTCCCTCTACAACTGTACCTTCAGATGACCAATATTACTGAGTTAATCAAAGTGGCTAAAATTAGGCTCGGAATAAACATACTTACACTGAATGTAGTTATACAATGATATACATACTAGAAATCTAATGTCTCTTTATAATAAATCACTGTATGTTGATGAGTTAGAAGAAATTATCATAGATCACATTCATCCTAATTGTTAAATTGTAGTTGATTAGGTCGTTAAAGTAGGTTGTTATATGTGTGTACAGTATTATTAGTACGGTACACTACATAAACCCCAACAGCCTTTCGATTAATTTATTAATTAAGCGAGTCTCCCCCACCGGTCTCCCTCATCAAGTGCTCTTTTATAGTTCCATGATCAATAGTTAACACTGTACCTCACTGTTTTCCTATATTAAAGTTGCTAATATATTCAATACCATTTCATGAAACATCTTAAGAAATAAATATACATGTTAATGAGATCAACCCATGATAGGTGGATTTAATGAGTGGGAGGGTGAACCCTGTGTTACCCTTCCACCTATTAATCCATATTAATCTTCACATTACTGCAGCTAGTAATTACTGATGGAGTTGATAAAATTCACGTAGTCAACATAGGTGGTCAAGTCATGGAAGGAAGCGAGGTCGCCGCCCAGAACTACACAGTACTGGCGAGCGTTGGCCCAATCAAGTCGCTGTCCCAGGGCCAACAGCAAACAGGACTTCCCCGCCCGGCTGAACGGTGATACACACTGAACTACGAATTGTATAAGGTGAATTAATTAATGCTAAAATGGAATTAATTTATTGTTAATTGTGCAAGGAAAAAACAACTTATATGTATTGTGTGTAGAAAAATAAACATTTGTAAAATGGAAATATGTGCAAATTTTATTACATTTATTTTATCTGGTAAGGTAATTAAAAAGAATGGATGACCGCAAATGAGTATCGTTACTCCTATGTTCGGCCATATTGTGTCATGTATGTACAGTCAGGGTCAGGAATTCGTGATACAGTCGGGCTGTTAACCGAACAGATTGAGGTTGAGGAGTGATGAATGAAGCAAACCATATAATGTGTGTGTGTGATGGGCAGTCGTTCAATACCTACCTCTGTTGTGAGTGTTACATGTAAGCAATACCTACTCAAGTTTGATAGGTAATATTAATATTAATCTGGCTGGACCTCTTGCAATGATAATGTCCTAAAATGTTAAAATAACCTAAATTGTATATTCCTGTGAAATAATCGTTTGACCATTTATGTTGGTGGGGAAGTTAGGCTAGGTTAGGTTAGGTTAGGTTAGGCTAGGCTAGGTTAGGTTAGGTTAGGCTAAGCTAGGTTAGGTTAGCTTAAGTTAGGTTCGTAGGGAGGTTAAGCACAGCGACTCGCCGTCAAGTATGTGTGGAAAGGCCTGCTCACCCTCTGACCCGACTGTATCATGAATTCCTGACTTCGACTGTACATGTTGTGTCCGTTTGCATCACCGGCTACAGTTTTGAAGATAGAGTGCTGAAATTTAGCTTGGAGATGCGCATGCACCCCAGTGGTCGGCCCTTCAGTTCCAAAGATGGAATCTCCTCATTAAAAACAGGCCACTGACTAGCGACCACTTACTGGTTCATGTTGACTTGATTATAAATATTATAAATCATCTCAACATTAGTGAAAAATTTCATTCTTGCCTTTACTTGTGACCTGTTTTATCAGTCCTGGAGAATTCAAATGGATTTCCGACCTTTATAGTTGTGTGCTGTATATTGTTCCCAATAGTGAGCTTTAAAATGTGTCTCATAAAGAGTTAGTCATTATTAAGGAAAAATATTGCAACCTACACATTGTTTTGGCAAGACTCACTTGGATAAGTGCGTGTGGGCTGCTTGGCGGGTAGAGCTTCTCTTAGCATCTGCGCGATACTGCTCACTGTGTTGACAAGTTCTTTCTGTTGGTCCACCAACTGAGACATACGAATGTCCTGTTGTAGCAGCAGCAGCTCCACCAGACTCTGTTTGAAACAATAGCTGGAAGTCTTTTTTTTTTCCTGCCTAAGCGGATAGCCACAAGAAATGATTCAAACGTGGTAATCGATCTTGGGTATAGTAGCGATGGTTTATAAAAACATTACACAATATCACAATATAGGCAATAGATATTCGTACGGCACTCCCGGTCAAATAACTCTACGGTGATATTTACCCGTCATTCTCCCGCGATCTATTATTGACAAACAAACCCTTCAAGTGACGGAACGTTTCCCAGGGACTTTTCCATACGAAGTCAGAACGACTTACCTTACCTTGCCTAAACTAATCTATATGTCTCCAGCCCAGGATAGGTAGGTTTGGTTAGGTCGGTTCATCTCTCGCCAATAAATCATGTAAAACAACAGTCGCTGAAGTGTGTGTGTATGGAACACTCGCCGAGAATTTATTATTTTTATTTTTTAATACCAGATCAAGAGCCAAAATTGGCGTCGGATGAACCTGGAGTTGTGAAGTTACTGAAGTACATTAGTTTTATTCTAAAATACGAGAAAAAATCGACAGTTTCAGTTTATCATTATCTGCTTCTTTCTCGAGATAAATGAATAAGAAGTCTTCAATACAATTTTTGTCTAAACTAAGTGGTTGACATGTCTCAGGGTGCCGGACGAATCTCACGAGTTTATTATTTCCGACTTGACTAACCCTTGGTAAATATTAGTCTAATCGGAAGTAATCAACTTTAGATACTTTTTTTTCTCAAAATTTTGAGCCGTTGCGAACACGACCTTAGCCGTGACACTAAGGCGTAGGTAGTAACCTAAAAATCAATCGTCGAGGCTCCACACGCACTTGAACCCCTCTTGGTGATCCCTGTATACTGTATATAAAATATGACTTAAACTTATCCTGTTGTTTACCCCTGTACAGTTCTCGTGGAGTTTCGTAAGCACTGTGTCCATCTCGTGTGGCTCTGAGACTCTCACGCACGCCATCACCGCTGTCATCGCCACCAACACACGCATCTGGAGGAAAGGAAATTGGATAGTGACGCGACCGCTGTATACCTATACTGCAAATAGTTATTGACTCGACTGGCAAGTCAGGACAACCCGAATGGCTACCGTTAAAGCCTTTGCAACAGTTGTAAACCTCTATGGTCTTTCCGGGTGTTTTCTGTGTCAGGGTTACCCACCGGCTCAGCAGCCAATGGGGTGTGCAGAGGACACCCTGGAATCTGGGAACAAACGAAGTTGATGTGAGGAGAGAGGGAGGCCAAGGGACTGGGAAGCATGATGACAACACCATCACAACAAATCTCTTGTCTGGCAACGACAGACGACATTTGCTTTATATTACTTCTTACACTGGGTGAATGACAATTCAACTGTTAAAGCATGAACACTGATATTCACTACAATTGACTGAATCAAACTGAATGGCTATAAAACACTACTACACACCTGTAGGACAACGAAGTTGACGTGAGGAGAGATGGAGGCTCTCTCTCCTCTCACTGGTTTATATACCCCTGAGTTGCCAGCGATCGCTACTCACGCAATGACAGAAATTACAAACAACCCAACTGTTACTCATTCAAAGATGACCCTCAGTTGACAAAGGTCTGGCGAATTACTAAAGTTGATTTACACAGACTAATTCAATATTGAGCGTGTCAGGAGAGAATGGAATAACAACGTGAGACAACTGTCTTCGAAGGCTGGACTTACTAGGAGGGATCATGAATATAAACTTCGATGGGGAAAAACACATCTCTTCTTAGGAATAGCTAACCCACTCAGGTTTTGCGTTCGTGGAGTATAATAAGAATCAGTAGTTAAAACAGACTAGCAGTCAACGTGACCATGACACTCGCCCCACAAGGGGTCACAGCTCAAGATTGAAGAAGCTGCAAGTCCAGAAAACTGTGAGGGCAAACTTTTTCGAGTGAGAGTTGTGAACTCTTGGAACAATCTACCAGAAAGTGTTGTGACAGCACCGAGTGTGGGCTCTTTCAAGACAAGACTTGACCAACACTGGAGCGGGTTCAGGTACATTCAGGAGCCGGTGCATGCCCAGTACTTGCCAACAGTGTGTAATAGAGGCGTGACCGATCGCCCAAGCGGCTAACGAGCCGATCAGTGGTGAAGAGGATAAAAGTAAAAAAGTAAAAACCTGACATTACCTACTTTACCTTGCTCAACACGGGAGGTGGTACTCGACTGTGATAATTACATCCCTGGCGACGCAACAGCTTAGATCATTTGCTGCAGAAGGGATTAAATTGGCAGGAGGTGGGAAAGTGGCAGAAGTCGCAGCCCAATGTGATCGCGTTCCTCCATAGATGAGGTGAAATGGGAGTAAGTCCTTATATACTGCTTTGCTGACACTAGAGATAAGGGCCGGTCATTGCTCCCATGTTCACTCAAGTTACGATACAGGTAGATTAATGTTTATATCTCTCATATCACTTAATTTTTAGATATTTACTTTACCGTGTGTAAACAGAGCCTAGTGCTTAATGATCTCGTTCCTCTCCTGCACTGTTCTGCAAGGTTTTTGTCTTTCAGTGCATATATACTTGTGTGAGTGTATGTGTTTGCTCTTATATTTATATGACCGTGTGAGTGTATGTGCATAAATATTTTAATAAAGAGAAGGATGTTTCCAGGAAAGTTGTGTTTCGTTGTAATGAAGATTCTATATGTATGTAGTAATAAACACGACATTAATGCTTCCCCGTGAACTAAAACATTCTGGACTCTTATCACAGTCACATTGAAGGGGTTGGTTCAGGGGCTCAGAGTTGACACCTTACTGTGTCATCATGACTATGGACCCAAAAAACAGTGTCTAGACAACTTTAATCCAGAGACTGACCCCTAAAATATTGGAAGCATAATGTGTTGTCTAATGGTAGACCCTGCTGCCATATGTCATCACGAAACTTGTGACCAAGTCCCAGGTTGCTGATCTGACTTTTCTGCCTCATTTACACACAATTGCAGGGTCTCAATTGTTTCTCTTACCATTGACAACACAACATACATAAGAACATAAGAAATTAAGGAGTCTGCAATAGGCCGGTTGGCCTGTGCATGGCAGCTCCTGTCCAGCGTTCCATCACTTACTACAAAGTTTCTAAGCTTGTTCCACTCATCCACCACCCTATTTGTGAACCAGTTCCTTCGTATCTCCCTCCTAAACCTAAACTTATCTAACTTAAATCCGTTGCTACGAGTCCTATCCTGCTCGGATATTATAAGAACTTTATCTATATCTCCTTTATTGATTCCTTTCACACACTTAAATATTCGATCATATCTCCCCGCACTCTTCGTCTTTCTAGGGAATGCAAGTTTAGTTTCTTTAATCTATTTTGATATGGAAGGTTTCTAAGTCATTTTCGTCATTCTTCGAAGCACCGACTACAGTGAATTGATATCCATTCTATAATAAGGGCACCAGAACTGAACAGCATAATCGAGGTGTGGCCTGACTAGCGCAAGATATAGTTGCAATATGACCTCCGCACTCTTATTACTTACACTTCTAGATATAAAACCTAATACTCTGTTTGCCTTATTTCGAAAATTAACGCACTGTTTTCTAGGCCGCAGGTCCGGGCTTGCAAGTACCCCTAGGTCTCTTTCACAAGTCGACTTCTCGAGGTTGATGTTGTTAAGGCTGTATACATTGACAGTATTTGTTCTTCCAATATTAAGTACGCTGCGCTTGCTGGTGTTGAATTCAATTTGCCATTTTTCTGACCACCCCTGCAGTTTATTTAAATCCTCCTGTAGTGCATTTACATCCAGCCCTGAATTAATCTGCCGCCCTATTTTGGTGTCATCCGCAAACTTGCTTATGTCACTGCTGATTCCAGTATCTAGATCGTTTATGTAGATTATGAACAAGAGTGGGCACAGTACTGACCCCTGGGGAACCCTGCTAGTTACACAGCCCCACTCAGATTTAAGACCATCTACACTGACCCTCTGTGTTCTATCGGCGATCCATGATTTTATCCAATTTAAAACATTCCCCTCGATACCATGAGCCTTAACTTTTCTCAGAACTCTTTGATGCGGTACTCTGTCAAACGCTTTGTTAAAGTCTAATTAAATAACATCGTAATTTTCGTCATTATCTACTACCTCGAAGACTTTCCTAAAAAATGTCAACAGATTTATTAGACAAAATTTTCCCTTTGTAAATCCATGTTGAGAGTCGTAGATTAATTTGTTTTTCTCTAAATGCAATTGGATGCTATTTGCTATAATTGATTCGAGAAATTTCCCCACTACTGACGTCAAACTGATCGGCCGGTAATTTGACGCTGATGCTCTGTCTCCCTTTTTGAATATGGGTACTACATTTGTCTGTTTCCACAAGTCTGGCACAACTCCCGTGTCTAATGATTTTGTAAATAAATCTACGAGGGGTCTGCTAATCTGTTCCTTACACACTTTCAAAACTAGAGTCGGTGCAGCGAAGAATGACGAAAATGATTCCGAGACTTAAAAACCTTCCATATCAGGATAGGTTAAAGAAACTAAACTTGCATTCCCTAGAAAGACGAAGAGTGCGGGGAGATATGATAGAAGTATTCAAGTGGGTGAAAGAAATCAATAAAGGTGATATAGATAAAGTTCTTATAATATCCGAGCAGGATAGGACTCGGAGTAACGGATTTAAGTTGGATAAGTTTAGGTTTAGGAGGGAGATAGGAAGGAACTGGTTCACAAATAGGGTGGTGGACGAGTGGAACAAGCTTAGCAACTTTGTAGTAAGTGCTGGAACGCTGGAAAGTTTCAAAGGGAGGCTGGATAGATTCATGGATGATAGAGAGTGGTAGTAACTCTCGACAGGAGCTGCCATGCACAGGCCAACCGGCCTATTGCAGACTCCTTATTTTCTTATGCTCTTATGTAAAACTTGGGGGAAAATTTCATCCGGCCCTGGGGATTTTGTCTTCTTTAATTTATTTATTATGTTAAGAACATCTTCGGATCACCTGAAGAATTGTCACCCCAGAGTTTGGCAGGGTGACAATTCTTCAGGTGGGATATCCTGGGGTGATGAATCTTCAGGTGGCAACACCTGGGGTGACAATAATTCTTCAGGTGGGGTCAGGACCCTCCATGGTTAGGTTAGGTGTATATTATTCATATTTTTTTTCTTTAAATTTTTCACAATAAAGATGCATAACACAAAGGAATATATTTATGTTATCCTAATTATGCAAATTATATTCACTGTGGGCTGGGGTGACGATTCTTCAGGTGGGATATCCTGGGGTGATGATTCTTCAGGTGGACATTCTGGGGTGAAGATTCTTCAGGTGACCCACATCTTCTTTTCTGGCAGTGATATTCTTTAATTTCTCTTCTTCATTTCCCCTAAATATCAGTTCCATCTCTGGCATTTTCTCGTGAATTTCTTCTGTAAAAACTGATAAGAAGTAGCTGTTTTATGCTTTGCTTATTTTTTCACTATCATCGATCACTTCCCCTCTCTCTCTCTGACTTTAAAGGTCCCATTTTGTCCTTGACCTTTGTCCTATATACCTGGAAAAATCCCTTGAGATTCGCCTTGGATTCTCTTGCTATCCTAATTTCGTAGTCCCTCTGCCTTCCTTACATTTTTCTTAACATTCCTAGATACTCGCTATATCCCATACAGGTGGAGCAAGCTGACGTGTTGAGTGTTATTGTAAGAAGGGATGACCGAGGTAAGGTCACTGATTGTTATGCAATAAATATATGGATGACACGCAATTAATGTAAGACGTCTGTTGTCGAGCAGGGTAACCAAAATCGTCGTTGTTCTTCTGAGGAAGGCCAACTCACTTGTATTTTATCGGAATGCAGTATGTTTTATAGGGAATAAATAAGTTAAGACATGTTATGGTTTCACCCTTCTTTCCCCTTATCGATCTGGTCAATGAAAAACCTAACCCAATGCCTAGTTCATTCTGCCCGCTACCTAACGAGCTACTGCCCAGAGGGGGTCTGGTGGCAGCAACCCTTAGAAATTAAGAATAGAGTTAAGTTATCCCCTTAGACTTAGTGATCCCAGAATCTGGCAGTATAGCAATTTATAGCAATTGCCCTGGACAGCCATTCATCGCCAACTCCTCTTCTAGGCAAGACACCACATACTATCGGGATCCCTCCCCTATTTCTAACCTTCCCTCGCATCTCCCCATACCTCCTGAAAAGTTCCTCACTCCTAACCTATCCTATGTCGTTACCTCCAACACTAAGATACAGTACTGGCTTGGTACCCTCCCCTGACAAGACCCTATCCATCCTCTCCACTACATGCCCTATCCCAGCCCCAGGAAAACACACCCTAGTCCTACGTTTCCTTTCTCTTGCACAAAAATTCTTATCTAAGAACCTCACCTGGCTGTCCCCAACTACCACGACCTTACCACTGGGCAGGGTTTGACCAACTACCCTTTCCTCTCCTGCCACCACACCGTCCTGCCTCTTCTCTTCCTCGCCAGCTTCCTCCAACACTTGGTAGGGGTTACTGCACTCCACACCCTGGTCAGCTTTCCTGAGTCTGACCTTAGACCCCTTGGAGACAACCACTCTCCACTCCTGCTAGGCAGGACACCCACCTGAAGGAGTTCAGTCCTGAGGGCTTCGTTCTCCCCCTTTAAAACGTCCACCTCTCTCTGCAATTATTCAAGCTATAGCTCCAGCTGACTTAACAGAGTGGCCGGGGGGTCGTCTCTCCCCACGCACCGTCCCTCTTTCCCCACAACACAACGGCCCACGGCGGCCATTTATATGGTCACTAACACTAGCACATAAAGGCACGTCCTTCTCCAAGCTAGGTCAGGTCGGTACTGAGCATCTCTTATTACACTACTCTTGTCATTCCTGTGACGTAATGAATTAATTAAGGCATTACTAATGACAGAACTTTTATAATAATGTATTGATAGAAATTATCTGTGAACTGGTGGTATAAATTTGCAATACAGTACGTGATTTTTGTTTAATAATTGCAAAATCACCGTAATATTAGGATTCTCACTTAGACCTATTAACTGTAAGTTTAACAAATTAATATGAAATCGCCTCGATACTCCCGCTGTTGGTGTGTGTGTGTGTCAGCAGGATTTTATCCAGAAGGGGTAAGAGAAAGCAAGACAAGACAAAATTAAGAAGAAAACCCAGAAATTCAAGACGTGGGTTGGGTCAAACGATGAGCAAGACAGGAGGATGCATGCAAGAGCCAGAAACCAAGCAAAGACAGAGTGTAGAAGGGCTGAAAAGGAGTTCCAGAGGCTGGTTGCAAGCGAGGTCAAGTCAAACCCAAAGGCGTTTTACCGCTATGCA